AAAATCCACCAAAGCAATGCACAGCTAATTTCAAATGGAACATAAACAATGTAAGAGCCAATAATAAAATTATGCCCAAACTTTAAAAACAGCAATAACACTTACTGAATTATCTCTAAAGACCATGTTTAAAAGTTGTTTAGCCACTCCTAAAAACCAAGAGAAAGGGAAGCAACCGTTAACTCCAAAGGGCATGCAATTCTTCAGTTCTGGAGGAGCATTCAGAAACCAAAACTGATCCTTCTCTTATGCCCAGCAACTGGACTTTCTAAAAGGTGCTGCTCTTCAAAAGGGTTTTCATCTAGGAAGAAAAGATAAAGGTAAAATCTTCTTCAGTTTGATAGAGATGCCAAGCAACTGCATGGAGAAATCCATTCAGTTTTCTTGGCACCGGAAAGAAGTTTGCTATTGCCTTCTTATCAGATATTTTTACTTCCCAATGTAACCTTAATCCTGTAGAACAGTGGTTCTCAACCTGTGGGTCGGGACCCCATTTGGGGTCATCGACCATTTCACGGGGGTCGCCAAGCAAGGCTGTCTGCCATTTTTTTTGTCCGCCATTTTTTTGTCCGCCATTTTTTCCCCCTTTTCCGGCGGGTGCCTTACCTCCCTTGGGCTGGGCCAGCTGGTGGTCGGCCTGCTCCGTCTCTGCCGCTTGCCATCTACGCCTCGGCCGGCGCAGGGGGCGGAACCACACATGCACGGCGCTCCTGGGCAGGGAAAGTCCTCGACTTATGACCAGTTGGGCAGTCCTCGACTTATGACCGGTTTAGTCCTCGACTTACGACCGGTTGAGGTCACGGCATTAAAAAGGTTGAGAACCACTGCTGTAGAAGTACTAACCAGTCCAGATCCTGTTCAGTTCCCAGGCCCAGCCAAGGTCAGCCAAGTATTGTCACCTGGACTTAAATCTCCAAAGGTAAGATTCACAATCTTTTTCAGGATGAGTGGCAAGTTAGTGAACAGCCTTCAAGCTGGACACTGAACCGGGACAAAGAGGGCAGCTCTAGATCAATGTGTAAAATAAGTAAAAAAAAAAAATAGTAAGCCCTTATTACCGTATCATCTCCTATAGATAAGAGTGTCCATAGGACAGGGTCAAATAAGTCATGATGACAGCTTCAATGGTGCAATTGAAGCTTTGACCGTTTCTATAGGAGCCTGTGGAATGTTTGGACATGTCTTAAGTCAGAAAGTATCAGATCCAGAATAACGCAGTACTCTCAGAGCTCAATCTGCCAAGCATCCATCCATCCGAAGATGGAAAAAGTTCTATGTGAAGCAACAAAGCCACTCTCCCCCCCTTCCACTTCCTTTAGATATCAATACAGGTTAAAAAGCAGACTCAGTCCCATGTCCTGGTTGAAAGTCTGCTTGAAGTGGGTTCTGAAAATCAATATCATCCAAAGGTTCAGTGTGCAGCACAAGGTAACCATGGGTTGATCAGCCTCTTTTATCTTACCTCCTCCATGATGGTAGGTTAAGTATTAGGGGAGTTGAAGTCAGACTATTCTTGGTACATTGGTATGCCAGTACAAATAATATATGGGAGGACAGAAATGGTAAATGTGGCTATTAGCACAGCATTCTGTATTTCGAAGGAAGAACAAGTTACTCAGGGCTGGTTTCAAGAAGTCAGTTTACTGGCCAGAAAAATAACAGCTGCCTGGAAGTTATTTTCCTTGTCCCTGCCAGAAATAACATTTGACTCCAGCTGCTGGTTGCCCAGGAACTGTAGACGAGGGAAGATAAGACGAATAAGGGCTATTTGGTCATTTATAGCATCCCAGTCCAAGCCAGGCTGCTTATAAGAGAAATCCAGATCCAGCAGAGGATCTGGAAGAAGCATTGGCAACTTCTGTCTTATGGACAAGAGGCTTAAGGAATAGAGGCTTCCTAAGACTGGGAAGATCCACCTGGTGGCCAGCAGCATTTTGGGGGATCTGGAAAGCTTAGCCATCCAAAATCAGCAGTGATTATTGGTACAGCAGGAAGACCCAGGAAGTGAGTAACTTTGGATTCAGAAAGCTAAGAAGTTCTCTGAACCCAAAGCTCTTGAGAATTAAGCACTGGTAGAAAAGAAGCATCCAGGAAAAACCCCAATATGTGGTCAGTAATGGAGCACTGGACACAGCCTAAGTCCTCCAAAAAGACACAGAAAGCATCAGTTATTACTAGTAAAAGTACTACTGGGAGTAGGTGAGGAATTGGGAGTCTGGCTAAAAGCAGTTTCCAACAACCTCCACTTTCCAGCACAATCCAGCAAGCCATAAAAATGAGTATAAGTTAACATGGGCTATGGAGGACCAGGCAGAGGCCAAAAGTCCCAATGGGGGCAGAGTTCAAGTTAAAAAGGAAAATTAAAGAACAGGAATAAGGAGTACTGTAGAATGTACAGTGTAAACATATTGATAAAATAGGACAGTGTATAAGGTAATAGATATGAGAAAATAAAGCAGAAAACTAGTTGTAAGAAAAAAGAAGCAATTCTCTTAATGTTGTAAAAAAAAAACCTGTATTTTTTTTAGTACCTTATAAAAAATCTCATTTAGTGAGAATTGTGGGTCTCTCTGACTAGCGCCACCTCCCAAAGAATCTAGGACAATAAGTGTCCTCTTGAAATATATAATAGATTTATTTTAGAAAGTATAGTTTCCCCTGTATTTGTTGTAGCATTCCAGTAGTTTACCATGCAACATAAAGTTTGTAGCGTTATCAAAATAGCAATACAGTAGCTATTTCTGCTTCTAAGCAAAAGCAGAATGTATTAATGAATCTGTGGGACTGGTTTTACCATAAACCAGAGTATGAGGTCATGAGATCAAGATCTGATGTGCAACTGAAGGCAATTTGAAAAGAGAGCGAAATTGCAGAAGCTTTAATATGTGGCTTGACCAAACAGAATTATTTGTCAATATTATATTGGAATCCCTAGCCGAAGACAAATAACTCCAACCATTTTATAAATAAGGATCTTTATTTAGAATATTGTTGAAAACATTCTCAGCATCCATATTGTATAAATATATAAAGTTAAAGTTTGGCACAACAAACCAAGCAACATTAAATACATACATTTTTATTGTTCTTTCCATGGAAACTTTTTTTTTTTTTGCAAAGTATACAAAATATTTGTTCTTGTTCTTTTTCTTTTTTAAAAAAAGTGGTCCACAACCTTTTCTGCATATATGTGGATGTGATTATGGGGCGGGGGTTTAGATGGGGGGAATTGCAAAGAAAGGCAGCAATTCTGAATGCATCTGGCTGCTTAAGGTATACAGATAGTAATGGGAATTGAGCAGCCTATTCAGGACCTATAAGGATCCCTGTCCTTTGACCTTTCCACGGTAAAAAACATTGGCCATTTCATGGTGCACAATTCTAAAAGACCTCTATATACAAATTAAATAGCTTTTGTTTATAACCAATAAATAAGTGCATTCTTGGAGTAATACAAGCATGGAAAAAAAGGAATTATTAGATAGATTTGAAAGCGAGTAAAAAAAAAAATATAGCCGCAAGTTTTGTTCATTTTCAGTCTTGGAAATGCAGGTTTAAGTATGATTGCTGGTTAAAAGAAAGCATTCGTCATATTTGCACTTCATAGCACTTGGTAAATAGGATTGCTGGCACTGTTGTTGGCAGAGTCCTGAGGAACCTGAGTACAGCTGGCTGGGGAGGTGATTTGGGCTCCGGTATCACTCAGGCTGGCCCCTTCGTGGAGTGAACAAGGGCTCCCTTCAATCCCACTTTCAGCTGTGGGTAGAGCAGGACAGACTGTGCTCTCTGTTGAAATCCGCTCCACGATGCTGGACAAGCAATCTAGGCTGGATACGACTGAATTCTTCCCTTGCTTTGAATCTAAAGACAAGGAGATCCGTCAGTCCCAGGATAATACCAAGAAGCTATTTTTTGCAGGAGTCCTCACACGTACACAAACATGAAATACATATATTTTATATCATGTATTGCTATTCAGCAGTCAAGTGAACAATTTCAGCTGAACACCTACTCAGTTTCTCTACAGTTGCAAATTCGATGGACATTACAGTAATGGCACATAAGCCGGGAATAAGTGAAGCTGGGAATACAAAAAGGGACCATTTTAAAATTTATGCATTTATTCATTAAATTTATGTACTGCCCATCTCACTGTTCCAAGTCTACAGTTATGTACCAAAAAAACTGCTCATTTTGATCACCCATGAAAATTAAATGCATGCAACTTAATCATCGTAACAGTATATTTGATAATATATATATATGAAAAGTATCCAAAATATTATATACTTAATTGAGAAGAATTTTTTTTAAAAGACAAATACTTACCACTAAGTGATTCTGAATAGTAGTTGCTGTCATAACTGCTCCTTCTGCGAGAACTGCAAGGAGGACCACTGTATTCCATCTGAGACAAAACCCAACAATACAAGGCATTCAGTCAGAAATGTAAACACAGATCTCGACTCAAAAGTTTAATGGTACTTTCATTTAGTGATAGAT